GCTGGGCCAGAATTAATGCAGTTAGTGCTGTGGCCCAATAGCTTAAATGAAAGTAAGCCCAAACAGCGTAAAATTATATTGGGCCAGTAGTAGGCAGCCCCATTATAACGTAAACAAATATCTTCTTGCCTTTGGCGCCTAAATCCACCCTCTTCGTCTTCCACTCTAACAGAAACAGATCGCAAATTCGCCTCTCTGTTCTTGGCTTCATCGTCGGCAATGGCTGATTCCTTCGGCGAAATAGGGGGTTACACTGAACTGTATGTCAAGATTCTTCTTCTCGAAGAATTGATGGAAACCACCAGAAACAATATCAAGAAATTGATGGAAGAGTCACGGCAGGAGGGAACGGCGGATGATCTGAAAGAGGCAGCTAGAGATAACAACGAGAAATTAGAAGATTTCAGCCAGAAGTTTCTTGAATTCAAGAAAGATTTCGTCTATCAGGCACCCGCTCTTTCGGAGTTGGAAACGTATCGCAAAAGATTTCAAGAATTCACGGATGATCTCAATGGAATCGATCAGAGGGTCAGAGGAAATCTTCTGGTATTAGAGGTTATTCAGGAGCCCACGGAGGTCAACGAAGCGGAGGAAGAACAGCACCGGTCGCCGGATCTTCTCGAAACAAAGGAGCCTCAAGCGTCCAGTGATGCAGCCGGTCAAGCTGTGTTTGGGAATCTAGGGGAAAATACTTTGCTCCAACCCGATGGGCAGGCGATGGAAAAGTTTTATCATAAGAAAATTCAAGAAAAGGCGCCTGCGAGTAGGTATGGCAAACCACCGTCACCTCCAAAGAATCCAACACGGAAACTGAGTCTTGCGGCGGCGGCGGCGGAGGTGAGGATCGAGGGAAAGAAGAAAATGCAACCGTTCAATCTGTTACCATCAGGTGCCAATTGGAATTTGTGTGATACCATGATGGATATGTATGGATTTGTACTTAAAGAGGCACAAGAAATAGAGATGCAAGTTGCTAAGGCATTTACCCAGAATCCATACCAAGGTATTGGTTCCTCCATTGGGGAAAGGTTATTGGATTGGAAAGGTGTGTGGAAAGTGAAGGAAACGTTGCAAGAGTCCAAGTCTAAGAGTGAGAGAGTTCAGAGTTTGATTCCAGGATTGTTGAAGATCTGGATTTTCCGTGTGGAGAATCAAATGTATAATCTTGTTCTTTATCTCCGCTCTATCATGTTAGGGTATCAAGCAGCAATGGCAAAGTTCCAGCAACTGAGAAATTCCTGTGGAGAACATAAACGGAGAAACAATGAGAAGGTGCCGATTATTGTACACAGGATCGTTGGATTGCTGGAAATGCAGGTGCCAGGGGGGCAGTCGGAGTTGAACAGATATCAGCAGGAAGCATTGTATAAAAATTGTGGTTTTGATCGGGTGATTGGTTCATTTCATTTGATGATTTTGCAATTGACATCTCTGCTGGATGTTTCTGGGGATGCTAATAATGCAAGAAGAATAAGTCCAAATGTGGTGGAGAGATGTGAGCAAGAGTTAGGGAAACTTGAGGGGGAATTGAATGGAATTGAGAGGAGGATTATGAAAGGAAAGGAGAATGTTCAGAAAAAGAGGAAAAGGGAGGATGAAGTTGGTGGGAACGGGAGTGGGAGGGGGAGTGGGAGCTTGAAAATGGGAGAGAAGGGTAGGGGAAAGATGGTATGGAGGGACTATTGATTTACATGCTGTACTTGGCTGATAGGTGTGATGGTGTTGCAGACTTGAGGGAAAAAGTTGAGTTTGGTCATTTTTTGGATGTGGACTTGGTCTAAGGAAAAGAGGGCCAAGTTTGTATGTTACCATGACATTCTACAATGATAATAAAGAGTTCTTGTTTTGATATCCATCAGTGGAGTTATTGTGTAAATAGATCCGTTGAATATCATTATAGAAGAAATTAGAGGTAAGGTGAGAATGAGAAGATAATTTTGACATTCAATTTCATTTGGTGCACAGGAAATGTTGCATGAATTTTTGTGG